GCAACTTAATGAACTCATTATTAGTTCGATAAGTGATTGCAACAACAAAAACAACAACAATGCGTTTAATGAATGTGCATAAAATAGTGTTTAAAATTTTATGAATGAAAATTAAACAAAATGCGATGGGAAAATTAGCAATTACTGTTGATTTTTTTCAAACGTAAAGAATTCATTTATTATAAAATTAATAAATAATAGAAAGTTATTAAGAAAGAAAGAAAGAAGTAAGGAAATTAAATATATTGACAATAATATAAAAACATTTATAAAAATGTATTAATTTAAATAAACTAATTAATTACAGTATAAAATACCATTGTGAAAAACTCATAATTTTGGTAGTAGTGTTCATAGTTTACTTGTAATAATTATATGTATTTACACATATCAGGGACTCAGGTTCTAAGGCAAATATATAAACACTGAGATTAAAAATAATTTTATGGTTTTTAGTTTATTTTTGGTTTCATAATAAAATATTTTGTATTGGTAAAGGAATAACAATATTAATATAACTATTCATTATAGCATTTGTTGTGTTCATGAAAATGAAAAATTTAACAACCGAAGACATTACAAAAGAAATTTATTTAAATTTTTTAAATAATTTTAAAATAACTAAATTGTTTAAATATTCTTAAAAAAAATTGAATAAAAAAAATTAAAAAACAAGATAAATATAAAAACAATTTATTTTATGCTTTTCCTTGGAACATGTTGCATGAAAATCAATTGCCAACTGTATTACTTTTTTCACAACAAACAAAATAGACACACAACTTCACTTTCAACATGCCGTATGCGTAATCAATTAAATTTCGGCAATTGTATATAAAAAAAAAAACAAAAAAATAATATAAAAAACAAAAATGTTCTTTGCATTGCAAGCAAAATTGTAGAATCTTACAAATCAAACAAAAAAAAAAACAAAAAGAGCACACACAACAAACCAAAGAGCGTAGACATAAGTTCGAATGTCAAATAATTTCAATATGATGCAGTCAATCATACAGTTCGACAGTTGTTGAAAAAGTTAAATCAACTAAACTGTAAACTGTTGCATTTCAATATTTAAATACACACACGCTCACACGTTACTTTTATGAAGTACGGCTAAGAAGACGATGCAAACCAAAAATTGCGTGCTAAATGGTCACAATAGCAATCGCAATATCAACAACAAGAACACTAACAACCAAAGTTTAGACACCATTAAAATTTGCTATGCCTACGAACACAACAACAAAGAAAATAAAAAGCTTTTTCAGTAAATGCAAAACAAATGCTAGTAAAAAACATTCACGTTGTGTATTAAGAGACAGTTGTCTAACAAATAATATTGTATTTTTTTTTTGTCATTGTGCACATATGCAACCGTTTGTGTTTATTTTTTTTGCTTTAGGGTTGCGAAAAGACACTTCATACACATGCTACATAGCAAGTGCGCTACTTGCTACTGTTTAGTTGGTTTATTATTATGTTATTGTTGTTATGCTAGTGAATGGTGTTGCTTCGTCGTTAGTTTTAAAGTTTAAAAAGCATATAAAGTTATAGACATCCAAAAATTATATTTGTTGACAACTTGGTTGCATTGTTTTTGTTTTTTGTTTTTTTTTTTTTGCAAATTTTAGAGTGTTTTATTTTCGTGAGTATAGCAAATACAAAGCAACAACAACAGCATCATATTCGCAAATACACCACGTGCTACGTTGTTGTCGTTATTTATACCACATTCATATGTAGGAAAAGTACTTCATATATTTTTTTATTTGCATGCATTTTAGCAGCAGTTTTATGTTTTGTTGTAGGACAAGGAGTAAACTTACTGCGTGATATAAAGAGACGCTTTTTAACATTGTCGTACATGTATTAGCGAAAAACTCTGCTGCGTTGACTGGTTGATGCTGCTACTGCTACTTATAATAATGTTGTTGTTGTTGATGTTGTTGTTCTTGATGATGATGATGATGATGACTACGATATTTGTTATGCTACTTTTTGCATATATGTAAACTAAGCATTTATTTTTTTTATATTGATGTGAGTTTGTATGTGCGTATTCTTAGCCTATAAAGTTGTTAGAACACGGAATGTACGGGAAAAAAATAAATAAATAAAATCTCACATGCTTACATGTGCACATCTGACATAGAAAACTTTTGATAAGGACTCAAATCGGAAAAACCACATGTTGGAGTGTCCGCATTGGTTAAATTTAAGTGAAAGAACAAAAAAAAATACTTCTAGTCAGTGTAATATAAATAATTAAATTATTGAATTTAATACAAAATTTTTTAATTATTTTATTCTAAATTTAAATTTTGTTAGATTTAAATAATTAATAAAAATTCAACAAAAAAAATTCAACAATAAATTAACAAAAATAATGGCATAATTAAAATGAGAAAAATAGATTTTTTTCGAAATATAATAAAATTATAGCGCATATAATACTAATATAGATAATATTTCATGAATAATATATAACAGATTTACCTTTCTTTTGTTACAAAAGGTTTACCAAAAATATCTCTCTATCTGTTATAGAATTTTTTATAAAAAGAAAACTTATGTCCATAGAATAAGATCATCTCATTTTCAACTTTATATGACTTTGTTGATATTTTATAATAATTATAATTATGCCCCAACAGTATTAAAATTTTTTATTAATATTATATATATAGTTATTTTAGGGATACACCATAAGTTTAATATATATAAACCTTAAAATCTCAATTTAGAATATAAATTAATGTACTGTCAATTTATCGTAACTTCTTTACTTTCACTACTTCTTTACTCCAGTATTTAAAAAAAAGTTTCATGGGAAATCAAAGAGTCTGGATAAGTGTATAAAATAAGGTGTGACCATAGTAGAGATATGAACCATAGATGACAATGAAAGCATTAAGTGTACAATGTGACTGATCATAAACAGTACCACAATGTCATAACGGAAGAAAGATTGGGTAATGAATATCATAGCATTTTAAAAAGTCTAAAAAGAAAAACTAGTATAAGTTTTTATGAAATAATACCTCTCTCAATAGACTTGTTTGAAAACTATTAAACACAAATTAATATAAAAATTAATATAAAAATTAATATAATATATAATATTGATGGTCAATACAATTCTAACTTTAAGTGGAAGAAGTGTATGCGTTGGGGCATGAGGTTTTGGAACATGAACTAAGACTTGTTAAGTATAGTTTTTTTGTAATAAACAAAACAATAACTAAAGTAGAGACAAGTACGTTGCACAATCATACAACATATAACCAAATGGGTCATTAGTTCTAGATACATTAAACTCAGTTATTAGTTCCTCACTATATTATAAAATACGTTATCATAATCATTGAAGTTAATCAGTTTTGATTTTTATTTTAAAACTGTTTATCACAGAGATAAAGATTAGTGTTATATATAACAGCATAAGTATACAACATTAAGTTATCTATAATATAATAATAATTATTATATTTATATATTATATTAATTATTATATTATATTAATTATATATAATATATTTAAATAAGAATCTTAGTAATTTTTTTTTACTAGATTTAATTAACATTATAGCCGAGTGATCAAATCTTTTTAAGCGTGAGAGTTTTGTCCATAATATTTCGATGTTTTCTGGCTAAGAGATTAATTTTTTATATTGTTGGTATATTGTAGAGCGTGTCAAGAAAATATTTGCAAATCAAAAGGAATTTTTTGTTCATAACAATTTTAATTTTTAAGGAAAACAATATGTTTTAGTTTTTTTAACTTATTTTAAATATTTATTTGCAAGAAATTGTATTTTGCGTGAAGTGATATGTAATACAAAAATAGATGCGAATTATTTTTTTTAATTAGAGGTAGATTTAAACTAAATAAACAATAGTATATGTTCAATAAAAAAGTTTGTATATAAGGATCTCCAAATTCAGCATCACCTATTTTAAATTTGGGGGTTTCGCTCAAAACAAATACTCTATATTTAATTCTTTTTTTAATGATTTTAGTGCTGTCAAGTAGCATTTCTTGCTCATTTTTCTACATTTGGTATACACATACATATATGTATATGAATGACTGTTTGACTAAGTAAAGTGAAAAAGTTTACTAAGTAATTATTATAATTTTAAATTAGTAGAGCGATTCAAAGCGGTGCGATAGTGTACGACTTGATTATATTAGTGTACGAATTGAGAAAATTGGTTTTATTTAGTCATTTTTTAAGTATAATTTTTTAAGTATATAGATAATTTATTTAAAAATTCAATTTTTCAAGTTTATTTATTATGTATGTATTGGATAAAAATGTGTTATAGTACTTTTCCATATATGAAATATTATTACATAAAAATAATTATTTTAAAATATTTAAAATTCTAGTAATAATAGTAATAGTATTATTTTGTAGATTATTTTAAAAAAATGTTTTTATTATTGCTGCAAATATAGTATTATTCTATATATTTTTAAAGGATTAATATATTAGTATATATTAAATATGTATTTATTATTTCATAATAGGAAGTTACTAGTTGTTGTTATAATTATTGTTTAAATTGTAAAGATTAAGCGTGAAACTATCTTTCCGGGAATTCATAATTTCTTTAGACTTATTGAAGTGCATATCTTTCAGTTGTAATTATTCACTAGTTAGTATCATCAATCTTATAAACATAATAAAACTTCTACAAAAACCTAGTGCTAGATTATTCAATGTTAGTTTAGAGTCTAATTTAGTAGATAGGATTTAGCTTGTGGCTTTGAATGGATGATGATGGAGAGTTAATAGTATCCAAAACTGGACACTGTCAAATTACACTAATGAAATGTTTGCCAATTTTAATTTTACTATGATATTATTTTATGTCATTTAACTATTATTACATATCACTGCTATTATAATTAATTTATTGTTTTTTTTTTTAATAGATGTCTTAGAATAATTTTATTTTTTTTAAATTCTTAATATTTTATTTAAACTTACCTCTGTGCACATTATTTTTCAACAGTAAATATTTATCCAAAAACTAAAATAATATTTTATTTTAATTTTTTATATCCTTGTCTCCTTTTAGAAACAAAACTTTCTTTCTCCACAAATCTTCTTCCTTTAAGTTAGTTTAGTGTAATTTTTCCTTCACACAAATGAAGCACATATTTTGCATTCTAATATTTTTTTCGAATAATTCGCAGAAGATTTATGTTTTGTTTTTGTTTATATTTAAATCAGTTTTGATCTTTATTTACGTTCAACATCATCATCATTATTAACAACTTAATCATCATGATTATTGTTATTATATTGCATAGTAATTATCAAACTCTTTATGCACGTTCAAAAATTCATACACAAGGCAAAAACAATATCAAAACAAAATATGAACTGTCAACAAACTTTCAGGTAATGATAATTATAAGCATTGTATTTTCTCTCACGCACTTTAATTGTATTGAATTGTATTAAGATTTATAGTGCTTGGCTCTGCTCTTATTATTATAGCTGCTGATATTGTAGATTGATGCTGCCGTAGTGTTTAACGTGTTTAGGCGCGTATTTCAAAAATGTGAAATAATTTTTTATTTTAAATTTTTTATTATTATTAAAACAGTTATTTTTTTGAAAAAAATCGTCATTAATTATTTTAACGCATATATATTTTAAAGAATATAATCTTATACATTTTGTCATGCGATGACTACGCCTGTTAGCTATTATCAAAATACGAAATTACGAAAAAATATAATGCGCGGCGGACAGTAACACAGACCAGCATGTACTTTGTCTACCATGCTAAAATCACAAATAAGTTAACAAAGTGCAAGATACTGGCACAGCAGTCTCGAAAACCGAAAAATGCTACGAAAGCAGTTGTATAGCAGAAAAATATGAAAAGAAACACCCTGTCGCACCGCAAAATTCAAACGAAACGAAACGAAATGATACGAGGCAACTTTGACAGCATTACTTGCCTGCCTGCCTGGTTGCTTGCTTGGCTGTTTGTTTGTTTCACTTACCATTACGCTGTTATGTTATGTGCACAGAGCAGCAGCGTTCATAATAAGAGCAGAACACAAAAAAAATATAGTTTCAAATGTATGAATATGTGTTTTCTTATTGAGTGAGAGCATGCATAAGCAGCAACTTGTGTGAAGAGTTGAGGAATATAGAAGTACATGGTTTTTGTTATATGTGTAAGTGCTGCTTGCGTATCTGCTTGAATATTTATATTGAAAATAGCAACAAAAATGAATATGCCTTATATAAGCCAGAGTATTTTGAGAGCTCAAAGAGCATGGTGTATTTATTATATGTTGGGTTGCCACACTGCATGCACAGTTTGTAGTGTTACCAGACCTTTTTTTTGGATTGGTTTCGTATAGTCAGTAGTGTATTTTGTATTTTTTGCTATGTAGTTGCAAGCAAGCTGTAAATAGTTTATATGTATACTTTGAGTTAGTTGGTTGGTGGTGGTTAGGGGATATACTATAGCATATACTGCTTGCTGTATGATTATATTATTTTTGCTTTGGCTATATGTCGACAATATAGACTTGGCTTTACACTACATTTAAGTTTATATGTTTGTACATACTTATACTAGTATTTATCTGTTATATGGCACAACACACTTTCACACAAACACACTCAAATATAAATTTATACTATGCATTGTCAATTGGGAATTTTTTGTTCATATCATGTAGGTTGTATACGGTACTAGTAAGTGTAGTGTAGGGTACATCATTTTATATGGACAGAGTAAAAACAACAAATAAATTTAATACTACTCGTATTGGAATATAGGAATTGGTTCGGTTCGTTGGTACGCTGTTGTCGTCATTGTACGTCCGTTTGTTGATTTGTTCAACATTCGTTCGTTGTGCACATTTTTTATTGTGTACGTTGCTTTTACCCTGACGACTGGACGGCAACAACGACTACAACGCTTACCTCTACCGTTGCTACTGACTGCTGTTTGTACTAGTACTATATCTAAAATATTATTTCTGTATATTTCAGAGAAAAAATTGAATTTTTTCCAATTTTTTTTTTTTTTGAAATTTGCTTTTGTGTACGGTGTATAAAGTATAAAGTACCTGGCAGATATTTTAAATATCAGAAATGTTGTGTACTATTTTGTATGATGACTCTGTTGTTTAGGCTATGATATTTTCGCTAAACTGACTTGCTATTGTTGTTGCTTTGGGTATTGATGATGGCAAACACTGCTCGATAGACGTTGGCCAGTGTACGTTCAACATATGTATATTTTGCCTTGAAACATTTTCAATTTATTTACGCAGTCGAACTACAACAACAAATACAATTTTTTTATGTTAACATTTTAGTTGTTTGAATTTACTAATACTGTTTATGATATGAAGAGAAATTTTTATTTTTGTAAAATAACTAATTCGTTGCTGTTATTAAATTCGTTTGCGATTTGCTATTAGAACAAGAGTACATAGTACATACATACATATGTATGTATGTCGTCCCTTATAAGAATAGATTTTTGACCGTAAATGTTGCTTGCATGCAACCAAAATGTTGGCACCAATATTTTGTTTGCATACCCACACACACACACATACACACATAGATTCATGCATGAATACATTATTCGTTGTGATTACATTGCTGCATATTGAGTAAATGCACAAATTTGGTTTGGACTATGTGAAAATGTGCCGAATTGGTATTTTATATGCTCGGTCTGTCGGCTCCATGCTTTGGTCTTACGTAGGCTATGGGCATAAAACGACTGAATTGGGATGACGCGTTGTTTCTGTTGTTAGCTGGCTCATGATGTCATTATTTAAACACAGCACAGCACAGCACAGCATAGTACAGTACAAAAAAAGGGGTTTTAGTTTGCCGTTTTAGTAATGTGTGCGGCTAAGCTATAAAGTAACAGTCAAAAGCAAAAACCCAACCAAAAAGCATAAAAGATGCTAAGAATTTGAGAAAATTATTGGCGAGAGCGCGCGAGTCTGTTGTCGTCGTCGCCGTCGTCGCTGTTGTACGAATATTTATTGCAAATCGCATTGATAAGAGGGTGTTTTTGTTTTTACCTTTTTTCTTCTTGTTCTTGTTGTTTTTGTTTTTGTTGCAGTTTGAAACGGTATTCCCCATTAAATGTTTTCCTTTTTTCATTCTTGTAATTTTGTGCCTTTGCGGCTTTCCTTGCATTGTGTATTTCATAGCTGGTGAGAGTTCTGCGTGCACAAGTGCAAGTGTATGCTGCCGACATACACTGTAATTCGCTGCACTGCACTAAACTGTACTGCGTCGCGGAGTAGCGCAGAAATTTTGTGAAATATTTAAATTTGCGTATGAAGCGACGTCGTAAGTGGCAATAACAGCAACAACAGCAACAGCAGGAGGCGAAGGAAGTCTTAACAAAAGCAAGGTAGACAACATTAAACTGTTGATTCAGTTCAGTTCAGTTCAATTTCTTCACATTTCAACTTGAGTTGTGAAATGTATGCATGCAGCTTTTATCTCTGATAAGAATTGATAATTGCGAGCATGTGCACTGTTCACTGTGGTGACGGAGTTTATTCAAATGTTTGACTGAGTTCACCATAAAAAAATTTATGCAAATAAATTGTAAAAAAATGCAGAGTAAAGAATTAAGGTGATAAAGTGCAATAAAATGCATGAGGAATTAAAGCAGCAGACAATCGTAGTCAAAAGTAAGAATAAACAAGCAATAAAATATACCATAGTGAACATTATATTTTAAAAGTGCTATAAGGTTGCGATTAATTGCTTTATTGCAGCGCTTTTCTAATGAGATTAGTAATTGAATGAATGATAAAGCGTTGAAGTGATAATATGCTTGAACCTTTGATGACGTTAGTAAAACTTAAAATATTAAGTGTGTTGAATCAATCGAATACTATATATCTGTATAAAGCATAAGTGTTTTAAAAATGTTTTTAAACCTGCGTTCAGTGTTTTATTGCAGGGCTTTTATTTTCAATATTTAATATTCTAATTTTTTTTTTCATAGTTGATAATTGTACAAATAATATTTTCATATATGTTAGATTTAAATTTAATTAATATTAGAAAATTAATATTATATGTTTATAAGATAATTCTGGAAAACATGTAAGAAAAGTTAGTATTTTTTATTAGGTACTTTACACCCAATTTCCTACTGAAATTGTATTTTTATATGTTAAAATATATTCAAAAAAAAAAGTATGAAATACGTCAATTTTATGTATTGAATTATATTATTTTGTATCCAGTTTTATACGTAGGCTGTATTGACATTATATATTTTCACAAGTAATAAAACAAGGTTTATCATTGAAAGTCTTAGATTTTGTGCAATGATTATTGGTTGATACTTTATAATTTATAGTTTTTTAATTATTTTTAGCATTTTTGGATTTTCGTTGCACCAGGTTTATCGATTCTACCAGTTACAGAAAGGAGATGACTGTTAACCATAGTTTGTAGAATGGCCACAAAAATGATTGTGCGTGCAGTTAAAAAAACTGAAAAGTTTTATCCATAGAAGGTTAAACATTGGTTAGCAAATAAAATTTTGATTTTAATTTCTGGTTAAAAATAAATATTATTATACGAAAGTTAAATATAAAGCACATGATGTGACGATGTATTATATAATTTTGTTTTAGAAATGTGAACATCTCTAAAATATTGGAAATTGAAAGTAAAGAGGAAGAAAAAAATTATACCGCAATATACAATTATTATTGGATAAGAGCCCCCGTCCCGACTGACAACTTTTTAGTTACTGATATTGTAGACAATTGTAAAAAGTCTGAAGATTGCACTTCTCCCCCCAAACAGAAACCGAGGTCTGAAAGATTATATTATATTACATTAAGTAAGTAATTAAGTAATGAAATGTATCGTATCTGTACTATACATACAGATACTGTATATATCTGTATATCATCTATACATAATAGAGCTATCATTGCCTAAAGTTTCTTATGGTGCTTTCAAGAGTTGTTGCACAATGGGTTTTCGTGTTAAGATTACTAGTAGCCTCTCCTTTGAGATGTCAGCTAGTCTGAAATCCACTACCTGCCATTTACTTTCTTACATTACAGCAATGAAAATAATTGTTAAGTTTTAAATTTGTATATTTATATATCCAGAGATCGTAACAGAGATCGTAGCACTTAGGAATTGAATTCAAGGATCAAACAATAACATTTATCAAACAAGCACAATA